CTGCGCGCCGTTGCTGAATTTATTGTCTGGACGATAAGCTTGTTGATCGATCGATCGTCCGGTGACGAGTCTTCGGATTGGTGCACTGTCTACGAAAATTCAACCGTAACGCGGTTTTTTCGGGAAAAACTGAAAAGTCTCCTATTGGGATGTTCGGCCTCCGGCGCAGCGGCGAGACGTCCGATTTCGGGCGAATTTCCAGTGAGAGATGAGACTTCGAAATTGCTTTAAAGTCTAGATCGAGTTGACGAGTGTGTCTGCGACCTCTAGACAAATTCGATCCATGCATTGTACGGCCGAATAGAGAGACAGTTTTGACAACAATCGGACTACTCGCATAAATGTTCGAATATTGCCATGTATTCGCAGAATATAAAATCAGCAGCTAAAATTTAAAGATTTCTCGATGTTAGTCGCTATTCTCTGATTCGGCATTTTCCGTTTCGGTATTCTCGGATTCGCACACGCTGATTCGCGTATTATTAAAAATTCTTCATCGAATATTTTTCTACTTTGTCTGTAAAAATAGTACAGTTGCGTCGGAAAGTGTGTTGACACCTTCTAAAACTGGACTAAATATCTTGAATCTTTTTCTTAGATGACAAAACTTTTTCTTAACTTCAGCTATTACTTGAAACGACAAAAAAAGTTGACAAACTCCCGTTTTTAACTCTTTTATCTGAGCACATAACGAATTAAGGTATTCTATGGAATCAAATTAAAATTGTACAATTAAGTTGCATGACATCGATTGCTTTGTAATAGATTTATCGTAAAAATTCATTTCCGGATCTAAGCAAATAATTCGAAGTGCGAATGTGCACGGAAGAAAATGATAACGAGCGTAATTAGTGAACTGCGGATTTTATGCATTTATTACAAAAGCGAGCAGGTGACACTTTGAACGACAGAAAGTTTAAAAATATTTAAGAGTGTCAACGTATAGCTTTCATCTTATTCAGATTATTAAAGAAAGGATTAAATCTTCGTTTGACTGCCATTGTTAATGATTGATGGAAACAATCTTTAATTTGCATAAATATCCGCAGTCTGGTAATTAGGGTCTGAAAGCAGTGTCTCAAGATCGATAGAGTATCCCAATATTTGAATAGGGAGGTGCTCCGCGCGGCGGACAGTACAATTTTATTGTGTAATATCCTGGCTGGAGGGAAGGGATGGCAGCGTCCCTCGATCGGACACTAAATCCCCGTTATAAACCCTCCCGGATGGGGAAGAACTTTCGCGCGCCCTCCGAAAGGGCGGCGGCCGTTTGCGCCCTCCTTTTATTTGCAACATTTATTTGACTGGATCCAATATTTATGAAAACAATATTTTGTTTGGTTCCCGTGTTTATTTTACCGTCGATGCGAAACGCGGCTTTGTAAGTCGAGCACGGTGCAGCGAGATCGGTGCAGCGGATTACGCGGATCGGCCGCGGGCCGGGGTATTATTGTCTCTCGTCCAACTAGATTTCCCGGTGTCTAATTCCGTTATTGGTCGCGTACTCGAAAATTAATCGGCCTCCAGTCGATTTTATCGCCCTGGAGACCACGAACTCGCGTTCCTCGCGAGTCTTTCCCTTTACATTCTCTCGCGCAAAGAAACCCCGATTACGAAACTGTGGAACATCGTGCGAAGTTCTGCTTGCAAATGTTATTTTATAAACATCGGAATCAGGTAAGAATTTCTTACCGTAAAGAAAGAAACTTGTTGTGCCATTGAAGCGAAAGCAGAAGCGCTATTAATTTGAATTAATATGTTTCCTTGTACTTCACGTGTTCGCAGATGCATCCGAGGAACGCATGCAATTCCGCACTCTATGAATCAGGGAACTGTGGAAGTTTGCGGAACATTTACGAAGTTTGCAAAGTACTGGAAACGTTTGCAACAAGCGATGACATGAATGCGTAAAAGTCTGTAATCAGTGATTACGAAACTATGAAACTCTCTGCATAACGTTCCCAAAATTGGCACGATGCAACGAAATGTTCGGATCAAGTAACGCCGCGAACGCGCGAAGATCTGCAATACAGCGATGCTTCAGTGATTGATTTACGAAACAGCGATCTTCGCAGAAAATTTGCGAAGTGGAATGAAACGTCTGCGTCGGGAAATGCGGTAACTGGATAAAGATCCGCAGTTTAGTGATTACGAAACTGCAGGACTTTACGCAGCATTAAAAAATTTATGAATCACAGGGTAGCATTTTGCATCAAGAAGCACATTGACTCCAATGCTACTTCGTTCTCACCAACGGAATCTCTTAGCCGGCGAAATGAGTTTTTTATCTGATTTGGAATGCAACGAGATTAAAACGTAAACATTTCCCTTTGACTCCCGATTATTCCGAAGCACCGCGTAAAAATCTGCATTTCCATGAAGATCCGCGGTCTAATTATCACGGCGCGTAACGCCGAAGCGATTGTATTTCGTCAGAGAATATTCGTGGATATAATTTTCGCGCGCGACAGAAAACATTGTAATAATGCAAATTACTTCGTTGCGACAGTGTTAGTAGCCAAACCTCGCCGGACAAATATTACCAAACAACAACGTCACCGGGGGAAGAATTTCCGTGATATCGTTCGATAAAAATCGATGCTGCACACGGATCCGCTGCGTGCGATACCATCGATGCACTTCCTCAGATGCGACGATCGTTTCCATCGTCAATTATACACAATTAAATGGATATTTTGTTTCAGAGATCGTTGCAGCCGGCCGCCCGAACAAAAGGAATTATCGAGGCATAAAAGCGTTAACGTCAGCAGTGAAATAGCAACCGAATTATACGATGTATTATATTTTTATTCATTCGTTTATTTCGACGCCGCGTTTCATTCTGCGATGCATTTGTAATTATAATCGCGTGCACGTATCCCGTTATATCGTATCAAATGCATTACAATACATTGCATTATGCTGTACATATTATATTGTATTATTCAGACGATATACTACGCGCGTTTACATGGAACATCGTATATTATATTATGCTTTTTCGCCGTGCATTTTATTTCTTTCTTTCCGCTCTTTCCCAAATCTTTGCAATTCTATTCATTGCTTCCGTCCTGCCGCCTTTTCGCCTAGAAAATTTTATATTACTATATCACTCCGTGTGTTGCCTCATGCTCCTTTCATGCATACATCGTATTTTCCTGACCCTTTTCACAAATCCTGCACATCCTATCCCCTTCGCATCTCTCCAGTGCCGACTTTCGAATTTCCTTACCGTTCACGTGAATTTGCGAACACTAGGGTAATTGCTAAATAAATTGCAAATGCCGAACCGCACCGCTGAGATCCAGGTATCTCAATCAAAATTTGTGTGCAAGCGTACAAAGGCCCGCAATCTATACATCCTGTATACGCTCCCTGGTTATATATATAAACTGTTCCATACAATCATTGTTTTAAAATATTACGAAAATTCTCTCGTCTCGAAATTCCAAGACATTTAGTGAAATACATGCATCCATTTGAAATAAATTGCTACTAACGAAAATAAGGTTATTTTAGTGGTTTTGCTCTAAATCTGTTTATTTTTTCGGTTTTTTTCGTAAACGGCTGTATTTCATCTTAAGTATGTTTATTACTTTTTTGCTGGTAATAGTAATTTAATAGTAATTTTTATAATAATATAACGATATATAATATTGATATATGATGTAACGACATATAATATAACGATAATAGTAATCAATTGACGATAATAGTAATAATAAGATTTAAAGAAACTATAGATTGCGCGAAGCGATGATTTTGAAGTATATTATAGGTATACGATAAATTTGCAGACGCATATGAGTTGCCGAGATCCACTAAAGGCATTTTTTAAATTTTCGTTATAGGCTCAGATAAAAAATATTAAAGAACAAGGGTTTCTAATTTTTTCTTTTCATTCCAAGTAATAGCAACATTAAAAAAAATTCAAGACATTTAGTTCAGTTTTGAAAAAGTTATTGCGTTTTAAAAGCTATACGAACACTTTTGTGGAGCACTGTACCTACGCCAATACTAGTGTTAATAATCAATTTGATGTAAATCGCCACTGTAAAATTACGCTGAGCAATTATGATCTTTACTCCCGAGTAAACGTTGCTTGAGCTGATCTATGTTTTTGATAAACTTGACTCTTTGGGAGTCAAAAATGTTATACTGTCAGTACGTCGTTGATGTTATCGGCATCATTTACCACACTCACACCTTGGATTATTGAAAATATCAACACTGAATAAAGAAGCCGCTGAATTACAATGACTGGCTATAATACGATCGAAGTTGAATTTGATATTCACCGTTCTGCCGTCATCGTTCCTCCCACTGCGAATGATCAATCGTGCAGCCTCCGACACCCAAGCACCCAGAAACCCATCCAGCACCCCCGAATTTTCTACTTTCCCAAGGCCGCGGACCACGAAAAATCAGGCTGACGCTCTCGAAAATCGTGGGAGGCGAGATCCCATCGGCCGAATGACCGTCGAATTCGTAGGAACCTTTTAGTCCCGGCGGGCCACGCCAGAACAGATTATCCATCCATTATTTCGGGGGCTACGCGGCGAGGGTGAAACATAGGGGAAGAAGCGTAGTAGGCTGTCGTTGCGGCGCGGTTCGACGCGGTTCGGCGGAGCGGTCCGCTCGGCACCGCGTCGCGTCGTCTTCGTCCTCGCGCGGACGAAGTTGGATTTTCCGAGCGGCTTTTAAACGCGCGGTGCGGCACGGCCGCGTCGTATTCCGGCGTGGCGCGTTCGATTCGTTTCCGTCGCTCGAAAAGGATGTAATTAATATCGTCGCTCGGCTTTCGAATTTGCGACTGCGCGCCTCGCTCCTCTCCGTCCCTCTCTCGCTCGGCTCGCGTCGCGTCGCGTGCCCTCTCGCTCGTGCCGCCTGCCCTCCGCCCTCTCGGTCCTCGTCGTCCTCTCCTCCCCATCTCGGCCCGCCACCCTCTCGCGGGGGTGGCTCTCGGCGTCGAGGTTCGAGCCTCTCAGTCGTGCCGAGAACCCGCTTCGTTGCGGGGTTACCTCCTCCCTCGGTGAGCTACCGGATTCCGCGAAGCCGACAGTTCCGCGACTACAGAACCCGGAGCGGATCGCGTGGGCCCGTCGCCAAGGTCCAGTCGGGCTGCCGAATCGGCAGTTCTAGTCTACCGTTCCCGCGCCGCGAGTTCGTCTTCTCCGCTCTTGTCCGAACACGAGGAAGCCACCGATCGCTTCACGATCGGCTCTCCCCGAGATCGTTCGATCTTTTTCCGCGGGGTCGGAGTGCCGCGTCCTCTCTCGTTCGTGGATACTACCAGGAACTTCGCGGTTTAGAGGATCCCGGTGGCGTGCAGCTTCCTCGACTGTCTCTCGGTCCCGAAGCAGGAAGAGGAAGAGCGACCGATCGATCCGCGTAATAAAGGGAACTTTGCGTCGGGTGCGTTCCGCAGGGACACGAAGAAAGGGTCTGCCCTAAGCAGAAGAAAGTGGACGACCCTCCGCCGCGCGAAACTCTTTTCAGCAGGACGGACGATCCTCCCGGGAGGCCGGCGAACCGCTCGGGGAACCGTATGAGAAAGAGAGACAGACCGTAGCGTCGAAGAGGCTCGGAACGTCGAAGTCCGGTCGAGTTTCCGCTCTCGCTAGGAATTTGTTGCTCGCCGGAGCAGGTTCTCGTGGAAGAAAGGAGAGATTAACGAGACGATTAATCGTCGCGGAGTGCGTTCGAGACGGTTCTCGCGCGAGTCCCTCTGCCTCTCCCCTCCCGCCCCCTTCTCTCCCGGCTCCGAAGGAAGCGGTCTAATTCGGATCGTTAAGTTTTGCGACGTACGGGCCGCTGCAGCGGGCGGGCTTGTATCTCGACCGGGTGATTAAAGATACAATTAATGGGCCGACAATTAAATATAATTAACTCGGGGGATAGGGTACGCTGGCTCCGCTTGCCAATTAGCGCGTTAGCGCCTTATCGGACATCGGCCGATCGGACGGCCGCGAGCTTCGATCTCGAGCAGACAATAAAATCGCCGTAATCGGCGCGGGTAACCGGTAGCCGTGCTGGAGGAGTGGGAGAAGGAGGGAGAGAGAGAGAGAGAGAGAGAGGGAGAGGGAGGGAGGGACAGAATCGGAGGAGGTCCGTGAGATAGAGGATCGAAGTGGCGCGTAATGAGGATCGATTAACTCGAGGAACTCTGGATGCGTCATTGATCGTCCGCTCGGTGGGAGATCCACGGTTTGTGTCGGAGATCGGCGGATAAGGATCCTGGAACCGAGTACCGCGGTCAGGTAGCGTAGCTCGCGTCTAAGGTGCTCTCCGAGTAGGGAACAAGCGTGCTACGGGGAAAGTTACGAGAGGACTTTGACTCGGCCCGGGATCCCGAGTGGAGAAACGAAGAGCACTCTCGCGAGACGATCCGGATTACATGCTCGCGGTGCCGAGGGGACCGAAGTGGCTGTCCGTTACTCGTCTGCCACGGGAACTGAGACCCTGAACTTGAAGCCTGCATGCATGCTCGCCGCTGAATCGCTACGACACGCTCGCACACTCCTTGGAGAGCACCGACGGCCACCGAGGGCAGCCTGGACACATCCAGAGCAACGGAGAATGCTGACTGCGCACTCGTGACATACGGGGCTTCCGTTCAGGATCGAAAGGTAGGTCCTAACATCGATCGTTTGCCAGTCGACTGGCGGATCCTCCGCCGAAATCGATATTTCCTCGTGCGAACGTTTCTTCAATCTGTTTCAGCGCCTAGAGTAGCGGAGCCTGTTAATGTGGCGTGACCAATCGCTGTGACCTTGCTTTGTTTTCGGGAATAATTAACGTTATATTTAACGAATCAAATCATACAGAAGAACGACAAAATTTAATATGTCTCATTCGATAATTACGAAGTTAATTATGTCCGAAAAGAAACCGAAGGCGCGGCATTTGGTTATCACACAGTAATCGGCTTCACTATCCTATACATTGGGATTTTTGTCTTTCCAACGGAACGATCTGTTTCTACGAAATTCAACAGACTCGTTTTTACGTGTTTAGACTGTACTTTTGAATTTTGATTGGTCGATAGTATCAAAATTGTAGTAGTCACGACGCGAAAGAGCAGACCATTCATCTTGGACGGTTTCGCTAGGTTATTGAATCTCGATAATTCTACAATCGAAAACTCGGTACGACTTTTAATTAGTAAAGAATGTGCTTGACTTTTGTACTACGGAGGATGAAGAGAGTGGTACAATAAATTCTCCCTAATTATCCCTCAGGTTTTAAACAAATCTGGACGATTTGGGAAGAGGAGATACGATAATTCGAGCCTCGCGGCTCGTTTTTATAGTTGTTGACAATCGACGACTATAAGAACGAGCCGCGAAGCTCGAATAATCGTATCTCCTCTTCCCAAAATTGTCCATTTTCGTTTACAAGCTGAGTGACAATTGAAGAGAATTTACTGTATTTCGAAATTCGAGAGTTAATTATTTCAGCACGTTGTAATCGCAGTAGCGTAAGTCACACATTATCCTCGTTGTGAGAAACAAGGCATGTTATTGGTTCACTAACATTCGCATTATTTATTTTCCAAATTTATTGTTAAGATAATTTACAGTTAGATTAATTTATGGTAACTATAATTTACTTCACTCGTCGTTTGAACATTTTAACATGTACATGATTCTAACCCATTCGTTTATGTATTGAGCAAACCTTAAGAATTGGGAATTAATCCTGCAACCTTTAAGCCCTATTTAGGGTCGGAATATTGTGAACCATCGTTGTGGAGAACAATTACTATAATCGTCGCGGTAACAATGTATACAAATTCATGACTGTAGTTTCGACATATATAAACAAGTATGCGAAATTTCGTTGAGGTATATTATGTAGTAATTCGGTATATATTGTCCTAAATATGTACGATCTTTTAAGTACGGCGCTAGCCTAAGCATTTCTGAAGCCTCTTCCGCATTTAACGGAGCAGAGGTTCGTGATAAGAGCAAGAAGATCCGCAGACTGTTTATTAACTTGGGAATGAATCTCTCTCTCTCTCTCTCTCTCTCTATATATATATATATATATATATATATATATATATATATATATTGCTATATTGCTNTTTTGTACTACGGAGGATGAAGAGAGTGGTACAATAAATTCTCCCTAATTATCCCTCAGGTTTTAAACAAATCTGGACGATTTGGGAAGAGGAGATACGATAATTCGAGCCTCGCGGCTCGTTTTTATAGTTGTTGACAATCGACGACTATAAGAACGAGCCGCGAAGCTCGAATAATCGTATCTCCTCTTCCCAAAATTGTCCATTTTCGTTTACAAGCTGAGTGACAATTGAAGAGAATTTACTGTATTTCGAAATTCGAGAGTTAATTATTTCAGCACGTTGTAATCGCAGTAGCGTAAGTCACACATTATCCTCGTTGTGAGAAACAAGGCATGTTATTGGTTCACTAACATTCGCATTATTTATTTTCCAAATTTATTGTTAAGATAATTTACAGTTAGATTAATTTATGGTAACTATAATTTACTTCACTCGTCGTTTGAACATTTTAACATGTACATGATTCTAACCCATTCGTTTATGTATTGAGCAAACCTTAAGAATTGGGAATTAATCCTGCAACCTTTAAGCCCTATTTAGGGTCGGAATATTGTGAACCATCGTTGTGGAGAACAATTACTATAATCGTCGCGGTAACAATGTATACAAATTCATGACTGTAGTTTCGACATATATAAACAAGTATGCGAAATTTCGTTGAGGTATATTATGTAGTAATTCGGTATATATTGTCCTAAATATGTACGATCTTTTAAGTACGGCGCTAGCCTAAGCATTTCTGAAGCCTCTTCCGCATTTAACGGAGCAGAGGTTCGTGATAAGAGCAAGAAGATCCGCAGACTGTTTATTAACTTGGGAATGAATCTCTCTCTCTCTCTCTCTCTCTCTATATATATATATATATATATATATATATATATATATATATATTGCTAGGAAAAATGTGGAAGGGCGCTCCCGCGGGAAATGACCGCGTAGCCCGCAGCAGGCGCTTCTTTGCGCCCTACGCGCGATTTTGCGCGACCTTTCACTCGTCTCCGTAGAATCTCTCGGTCTATTGCGCTCTAACCCTCCACCGGCGGTGCATCGAGGGTAATAGTCCCACGTTATTCTTCCCTTATTCGTATCGAAGCGTCTCGAGCTCTCCGGTGCATCGAGTCGAGGAGAGTTGCAGCTGCAGCTGCGAGCTTACTCTTCTGCAGCTGCGAATTTTCTTCAACTGCAGTCGAAACAATTTTGTTCGCCTTCTTGGCAAATTTTATTCGTTCGAAAAGAAAATTTGTTCTTGCAATAACTACTGCAAAGTACTGCGAATGAACAATCTTACACAGCAAACGAATCATACATCGTGCAGCTTTTTTCAATAAATAACGTCTCGTCAGGAAAATATGCTACTTCGTCTTATTATGCTACAGGATCCTTCGGATTTCTATGTGAATTATTTATTATCTCAATATGTTATATATCTAACCATTTCAATCTAAGCTGATCCATGTGCAGTACTATCTATTATGCAAACGAGTAAAGATTAAATCTATTACTTTAATTAAGTAATCGCTATTTTATTTGAACACATACGTGTCTTTTAATAGGCCGTAAGACAGTAAGTATACTGTTTCCTCTTACGAATGCACATCCGTACTAATCTTAAGCTGATACATAGACTGCGGATGTTATGCATTTATGGGAAAAATGTTTCGGTGAAATATAGAGTAGCGACAAAATTAAAAAAAAGAAAAGTAAACTAAAAATGTTGATATATTAATTAAAACTTATTATCCTACGTCTTGCAATCGATGCAGATAATTTTTATTTTCCCTAAAAACATATGTATAACGAATAACGAACGAACGTGAAAGCGAACAAAGTTTCGAAATTAATTAGTTCATCACAGAGCAATTCGCTGTATACTCGTAATTCGAAAATCGATTTAGGTAAGGATCATTAGGTAAGTTCCCCTCCGATTCTTTCCATTTTCGCATGTGTTATTGTGCTCAGAAAACTCAACGAAATGTGTTTCTTTATATCGATGATCGTTCGGTTCGAAGGGGCGAAAACCACTACCAAAGGGCACGTTAAAATTCAAGAGAATTCCATATTTCCACCAGACGTTCCAATTACTCTCATCACACGCTAAACTTTTACGGGTTCGTTTCCGTCCTTTAAACCGAATTACCGGCGATATAAAGAGACACGTGTTGCTTAGTTCCTTGAAAAGTACAACATATGTGAAAACGAAAGAACTTCAATGGGTACATTTACCCAGCGCTCCATGTTAGAATGACTATGGAAACACATTTTTCTGCCTGACTAAACGTGTAAAGTTTACGAGCAAGCTAAATTAAATTAATTCCCGGTCCAAGAATCAGATTGACCTTGACGCCGGTTTACCTATCGGGAGATCCTGATCACGGCGATTAATTATTTCGTCACCGGTGTCGCGACACGGAGGTTATCGAATCTCCCTCGAACTGCTTGGTAACCCTATGCTGGTAGCGCGTAAGAAGCTCGGCTTTAGCCGCTCGTAAAGCTGTGGAGAGGTTCAGATTGTGCGAGTCGGCCGGGCAATTCCGGCGCACCTGCGTCTATCGTGTAGAGCGGAGGGCCAGGACATCGGGAGAAAGCGGGAGGACACGGTAGGAAGCGAGAGGACCGCGGAGCGAGCCGAAGAGGAGGGACACGAGACCTGGCAGCCGGCGAGACCGAATGGAGGGAACGGTTCGAGGGCATTATTAAGGGCCCCGTGTCCTCGCTCATTACGCCATCCGAGAAAACCGCGTCGTACGTTCCGGCTTATCTCCATTAGGCGAACCGGAATTACGTAGATATCGTGTATTTAAGTGCGTGCGGACGCGCACCGTCGTAAATACCCGTTCGTCCCCCTTCTTCGGCGCATCCTTCTACTCCGAGGAGGGGCACAAGCGGCACAGGGAGACCGAAACGAGGCGAGAACCCTCGCGATAACGGGCGAAAATTAAAGCCATCTTTAAATATATTTCGATCGCGCGACTTTAACGAGGCCGGCCGGCGCGCCGTTGATTGCCCCGCGGAAATGTCAAGGAATTCGTTAACGCGGCCCCGTAACGAGACGATGGTCCTCGCCACCTTCGAACGAGCCGATATCTCTCGATAACGCTGCCGACCACGCAACCGCCTCGGAGATATTAATTTCACGTATTTCTCGCGAACTTGCTGGCCCTGCAGTTTGCGAAGTACAGCAGCGTTTACGAGGACTTTGATTCCAATGAACGTAACAGCGGAGCGTTGATGTGTAAATCATGCGTTGCTCGGAAATTTGCTGATTTGTGGTATTCAGAAATAATTGGCGAGCGTTCTACAAATCACAGTGTTGGGCATTATTCGAATTGTTACGAATAAATATTTATCTGAGATCATTATCTAAAATGAATTACTTTCCGTTGAATATTTTATTCGAAGAACGGTTATTCGCGTTCTTCGTTGTATGTACATATTTGAGAAGAGATCGCGAAATAATTCGAACAACAATGCGAATAATCGTTGACTACTTTTAGTTTTACGTATTCTTATAAGAATATATTTAGACGAATACATTCG